TTTGCAGAGACAGGAACAAAGAGGTTCTGCGGCAGCTGGCCGTCCTGCAAGCATTACATTAAACAGCTGTTCCCCATGCAGCCACAGGTGGCGCTGTGCTGGGAGAATGTGATTACTCTTCACTTCCTCCCAGCCTACAGAGCAGCGCATGGGGGAGAGAGAGGAGGAGGCATGATTTAATCTTACAACAAATCCACTAAGCAAATCTTTATAAATTTGGGGGGATCAGCTCTGTAAACAGTTTCTTGGTGTTTATTCTGATGTCTGTATTAATATTGAGGGATGTCTAAGTAGTAACATCAGTGTGTGTCAGCAGGGCCAGCCGTTGGGGTGTGCACGCCGTGCGGTCATGCAGGGTGCCATGACAACAGAGGCGCCCGGCGGCAACACAGCTCACAAGTTGGGTATACCAGCATATTCAATTTAAACGATTCGCTGGTGGTCCACTGGTGCGCACCAGCAGTAGGTGCAGTCAGATTATATCCTCTCCCTTGTGGTTCCGGCGCTCAGTTAGTGAGTCAGAGCACAGGCTCAGAGATTCTCAGCCTGCACTCTGACAACATTGAAAGTCAGAGCCGTGAAGGAGCGGGTAGTAGCATAACATCAATAACCGTTCTAAAACCAGGAAACCAGGTGGGCATGAATGGTGAACTGATTTGGTGGTGCAATGGGCCACTTGACTGGTTTTGCCCCCCAGGCCTAAGGCTGCCAGCCCTCCCCTGGGGGTCGGGGACCTATTGTCCTCCCCTCCAGCCCCCACCCCTGATCGGGCCCTAAAGTAGAATAAGGCGGGGGGGACCTATTGTCCTCCCCCCGGCCCTCACCTCTGAGCGGCGGGTGGGGGCCCTAAAGTAAAATAAGGGGGGACACCTATTGTCCTCCCCACCGGCCCCCACCCCTGAGCAGCGGGTGGGAGCTCTAAATCAGAATACGGGGGGGCACCTATTGTCCTCCCCCCTAGCCCCCACCCCAGAATAAGGGGGGGCACCTATTGTCCTCCCCCCCAGCCCCCACCATGATAATTATAAGTAGCAGCATGTAAATAGTTTTTTTATTTTTTTTAAATGGTGGAGCCAGGGTAAATTACTGGCCAGCACTGGCTAGCTATTTGACACATTTAAAAGCTTGAAGAAGACCAGGTCCCCTGAAAATCCATACCCATCGTGTGACCCTGACATCACGGGCCACCCGATGGGCATCTTAACATGCGGCCCCGGCGGTTTGCTGTGTGGGCCGGGCCGCAAATTATGATGGTAGGCACCTGGATGCAGGGGTCTGCAGGGTGGCCGGGCCCCTGGAGTGACGGGCCCTGTATGTACCCCAGTATCTGTAGGAAAAGGAGGATCGAGTCACTTTATTTTTGTATTGTGGTATGCTAAATATCGTGCTAGTACTGAATCAGAGGTTATAGGAGGTGGGAACAGCTAGGGAGAGCATGCTACTCAGGTAGGGTTGGAGCTTCCCAGAAATGCTCTTATGCACAAGGCTGGAAAGATGAAGAGTGCGTCGGGATTCCAGCGACAGCCAGTTCAGCTCTTTTAACATGTCACAGTGACGGGTAAAGTAAAAACATTCGAGTACAAAGCGGCAGAACGAATTATATAATGTATTAAGTTTATTAAGGTGGGTTTGCAGTGCGGGTGCATACACTACATCCCCATAATTAATGACCGGCATTAGCATTTGTTGCACTATCTGTTTCCTTACTCTGGGGCTTAGGCAGGATTTGTTTCTATACAGGGCACCTGGTTTTGGGTAAAGTTTTGAAGAGATTTTTTTCAATGTAAAGCCCAGTGGCGTCGCTAGGGGGGGGCCAGAGGGGGCCATGGCCCCCCCTACATCATGCTGTGCCCCCCCAAATGCCAGCAACTTGCTGGCCATGGGCCTCCCTCAGACTGTAACAGCCTGTCACAGCCCGAGGGAATGCAGTGCTGAGGTGCTGGGGGCTGTCTGTGGCCGGAGG